CGCTTGTTTGTTTGAACTGGGGTCCCCTTAAGGTCCCCATGCTGTGATTGATTGAATCTGTCATTTCTCACTGAGTTTGCACATCACCCGATGGGGCAGAGCACCTCATCGCTGCTGTGCACAAACCAGGAAACAGGCCAGTTAAGCAGCACAAATAAAGGGTGAAAAATCCAGCACCACCTTGAAGAGAGTGGAAGACGGAGGGCATCTGGAGGAGGTGAGGGCAGGCCTAGCTCCACTCCCCACAGGAGCTGCTGGGTCAGGCGACAGGCCACACCCTTGATCCTCACCTCAGGTGATGTGCGGGGAGTCCACTTGCTCCCCATCTGGACTTCTCTCCGTGCCTTCGGGACAGGCTTCTCCCTCCACTGTGGAGGACCCCCCACCCCCCAACACACACACACACGCAATCCGGCCAGACTGACCAGCCCAGGGCTGGCTTGAAGCCAATACTCCGGAACTCCCTGTCTTCATATCTTTGTTTTACTCCAATGATAACAGTAGTAAATAAGAAAATATGTAAATAAAAGACACTGGTTCTGTTAACCTCAATGATAAACACTGACAGTTATTTATTTTACTAGGAACAGAAGGGTTACTCAGGAGTAACGGAGGATTACAACCAGGACAAACAGGTTGTGGCCAAAACAGGCCAGGTGGGAACAAAGGAGAAAAGGGGAAAGTTGGGAGGGGGTGTGTGGAGGAGACTTAGAGTGCCAAGTGTGGTGGCTTCTCGCTGAGGGAGCTGCTGGCAGGAGGTCGAAGTACTACACACTGCAGGGGTAGTTGGGTCACATCCAGGTAAGGTCAACTTCAGCTCTTCCTGTCAGTCTGCAGCTCAGTGCAGGGTGGGAGGGCTGCGAACACCCCCTGCCTGAACCTTCCACCCTGTTTCAATGAAGTTTCCCATTACTGATTTTCAGTCACGTTCATCCAAGAATGGAGTAATGTCATATTCTGTCCTAATATAAATGGAATAGTCTGTAGTGGGAAGCACAGACGATTTTATTAACTTGTGATGGAGTTTGGGTCGGCAAACACCCCTCTTCTCATAAGCCTTGGGACCCCCTAGCTCCCCGCTGTTGGCAACCAAGTCAAGCCAGGACTGGCTGGCCAGCTAAACCCAAAGAACTTCACTGAAGGACACACCTCTTCTCCATCATTCTCCGGCCACGTCCCCGTGGTGAGTGAGAGGAGTCAGGGGCCGTCCTCCTCCCTCTGGCCGCGTCTTCCGCTAGAGATCCTGACTCTCCAATCCCCCCACCTCTTTCTTATACTGAACCTGTCTGTGTCCCCTCACCCCCAAATTCACATGGTGGAACCCTGGGTTTAGGAGGTGGGCCTTGAGAGGGAATTAGGTCATGAAGGCACAACCTCCTGGGTGGGATCAGGGCCCTTGTGAAAGAGCTGCCCTGTCTGACCCCTTCCATCCTGTGAGGCCACAGCAAGAAGTTGGCAACCCTCCCCAGCTTCCTGAACTGTGAGAAGTAAACATCTGTTGTTTATGAGCCATCTGGTGTGTGTATTTACTATAGTTGCCCAGATGGGCTAAGACACCATCCAATCAGCAACCCCTTCCTCCTGAAAAGGCAGTATGGCTTCTCAAAAATAAGGTATCTTTTTTTTTTTAAGATTTTTTTTAATGTTTTATTTATTTCTAGGAGAGAAAGAGAGAGAGACAGTGTGAGCAGGGGAGGGTCAGAGAGAGAAGGAGTCACAGACTGAAACAGGCTCCAGACTCTGAGCTGGCAGTCAGCACAGAGCCCGACGTGGGGCTCGAACCCACGAACCGCGAGATCATGACCCAAGCGAAAGTCGGACACTTAACCGACTAAGCCACCCAGGCGCCCCAAGGTATCTTTATTATATAACCTATCAGGTCCTTAGCAAGCTGCAGCCCCTAACACTAGCCCATCTATTCCTGTCAGAAACCAAATCCTGTGGCTCTGATAGATCTTTGCAGTTCAGGCAAGTTTGGCCACAGAGTCTGGCAGCAGAGTCCAGAGCTGACCTAGGTCAGAGCTGTGGACTCAGGGCAGCAGGGTGAATGGCACCTCCACTCCCACCCCCCCAGTTCATGTCCACCTGGAATCTCGGAATGTGACCTTATTTGGAACAAGGGTCTTTGCAGATGTAATTGAGATAAGACATTTCAAGATGAGGTCATCCTGAGTTAGGGTGGGCTTTAAATCCAATGACTGAGGGCTTTTTGAGAAAAAAGGAGAGAACCAGTAGGGTCGGGGGAGGGCAGGCAGCCCCTGGAGGGACGCAGCCACCGTCCCAGGCCTGCCAGGAGCCTCTGGAAGCCAGAGAGGCAGGAGCCTCTTCCCCTAGAGCCTCCGGGGAAAGCATGGCCCTGCCCATACCTCCACCTTAGAACTCTGGCCTCCAGAGCTGGGAGAGGAGAAAGTTCTGGTGTTTGAAGCCACTCAGTTTGTTGTGGTTTATTACAGCAGCCCCAGGATGGAAAAACACTGAGTGCTAGGAACAGAATTGTGTCTCCCTCCTCGCCTCACATTTCTATGTTGTAATCTAAACCCCCAATGTGACTGGATTTGGAGATAATAGGGCTTTTAGGAGGTAATAATGTTAAATGGGGTCATGAGGATATGGTCTTGTTTTGATGGGATTTGAGGCAGAGATCTCTCTCTCACTGTCTCTCTCCACAGCACACGATGAGGCCACAGGAGCCAAGAGAGGATGCCTCAGGAGGAAGTCTACCTGCCTGCACTTTGACCTTGGACTTCGGGCCTCCAGACTGTGAGGGTAAGTTGGTATTATTCAAGCCTCCGGTGTGGTATTTAGTTACATCAGCCTGGGCTGACTGCCATACCAGATACCCCAAACCCACAGTGATGTACAGGGAGCAGAGGAAGGCCCCAGGCTAGCGCTAGCAGGCTGACCACGTGCTCTCTGGAATGCTGCTGGCAGGCAGCCCCCAAAACACAGGAACCTGAAGGAGGGGTGGCCCCCGAGCCAGAGCAGAGTCCTAGCCACACAAGCCAAAGACAGGTGCAAATAGCATGGAAGCAAACTTTTGAAAAGGTCCACAGGGAGGTTGGGAAGATCCTCCCAGGGACCTCTATGAGCTGGAGGTGGAAACAGGAAATAGCTGGATGAGATTCATCTTGGAAAAATGCAAGTTCACATATCTGGGCAAAACTAATCCACACCACAGTGTGAGACAGCCACAGTGCAGAGCAGGCAGGGGCACCACCCCCCAGGGCAGCCTCAGGGGCCCAGGCAAGAGGCCATCTGTGCAGCCTGACTTTTTGAAGGATGGTCTCGGTATGGGGGAAGTCCCTGAGGCTGGGGACTTAGGGGCCTGGGAACTCTAAGGCACGCTTATTGGAAGTAGAGGGCTGAAGCTTCCATTTCCCAGTGGCCCAGATGGTGACCTGATGGTCCAGGGTATGGCGGAAAGGAGCACCCCAACCCACAGTGCTGTGGCCTCACCCACTCGTGCCCAGGCCTCCACTCAGTGGGCACAGAGGGTTCCCCCCCCACACCTGATCCTCCCCGGGTGTGGAAAGCCTCATGCTCCTCCGTTTTCCAAGTTGCCCCGTGTTTTAACCATTTAGGTATGATGGGTCATTAAGAGTTAGAGACACAGGACACAAGAGGAAAGGAAACTGTTTCGGAAGAGAAATGGCTGCTCCCAGAGGAGAAGCAGGACCTGCACATGGGGATGAGGTTCTGACCCCTTACACAGGCCCTGGGAGCTCCTCCTTTCCTGCTGGCCAGAGAAACGGACAGAGGGAAATGAGAGAGGGGCCAAAGCGCAGGCCTCCTGGCTGAGGAGTGAAGGTCCTGTGGCCCAGGAGGGCAAGTGGAGGCAGAAGAGGCCTCTCTCAGCCCTGTGCCTACTGCCCTTGTCAGGTGACCCCCAGAGAGAGGAGATCAAGGAGAGTGGTGGGAACAGGGTTACACCTGGCCTGTCCCACCTGTTAGTCTGAGCGTGGGCTAAACCTACTGCAACAAAGAGATTCTAACATATGGCACCTGAAAATAAGAGAGGAGCAACTCCATACTGTCAGGGTGTCAGCTCTCCCAGCCTGATCTAGACAATCAAAACAATCCCTATGTTGGAAAAGGCATCACTGAGTGCGATTTTTGTTTTCATTTTGTTGGATATGGTTGCCAAATTGGCTTCCAAGAAATCCTTCCTACAAACTGCCAGTTCCCTCACACCTGACAAGTGCACAGGTCAGGCAATCTGGTGGAAGTTTGCCAAGTAGTGTTTCTTCTGTGGAATTCCTCCTGGAATTCGGTGTTCCTGCCGAGTTTTCCATTAGATCACTATCTTTTTCTTATTTATCTGTGGACAGTTTCACAATTACAGGAATTAGACAATTTCAAAAGACATCACAAACACTTCACCAAGGTTTTGCCTTTTGATTATAATTTTTAACACATTTAAAATGTGAATGTGGTCAAGTTTATCGCTCTTTTCCCTTCGAGTCTCCAGGTTTATTGTGATAGACTGAAAACATTCGCAGGCTTTTCCAGACGTTTTCTTGGATTCTTTTTTAGATTTGGATATTTGATCCATCTGCATTGCATTTCGGTGTTAAGGACGGAAGGAGCCAACTTCTATTTTTCCAAATGGCCGGTCAGTCGTACCAACTCCACTGGATGGGAAAACCTTCCCGGATTTGAAGCCCCTCCACTGGCACCTTCCACCCGGCTCCGCGTCGCTAAGTGGCTAGATGCCAGGGACCCCGCCTGGCCCTGCCCACTGCGGTCGCCGGCTCCGCCCCACCAGGCAGAGCCCAGCCGACCCCGCCCCCCATCCGCCTCCACATTCCCTGGCTCCGCCCACAAGCCCCGCTTTCGCTCGTTCAAGCCCCGCCCCCACATACCTGGACACGCCCCTCGATACTCCCTGGACCTGCCCCATCCAGGCCCGGCCCTGGCCCTCCCTCTTCCCGACCCCACCGCCCTAGCTTGGCTCCTCCGCGCTCCTCGGCCCCGCCCCAACGTCGGCGCACTTCCGGGTAGTCCCTGGGCCGCACCAAGAACGTCTCGAGTCGTTTAAATAAAAGGCGTGTCCTCTTGTGCTATTTGCATGGAGGAGGGGCCTCGCACGCACCCAGCACGTTGCGGGCCCCCTGCTTCCACAATGCTCCGGGCTGTATAAGTTGGCTGGGGCGGGTCCGGCCACAGAAGACTGCCAGGTGCCGCTTCTCCTTTCACCCGGCCTCCGCCACCTTCCGATCTTCTCGTGCCTTCTTTCCGGCGCCCGCCGGCGGCCACAGCCAGGATGCTCCCGAAGCGGCGGCGAGCGCCGGTCGGGTCCCCCGGCTGTCCTGCCTCCTCGGGGGCGCGCTTCCCTGGCGTTGCCATCTACCTGGCTGAGCCGCGCATGGGCCGCAGCCGCCGGGCCTTCCTCACGCGCCTGGCCCTCTCCAAGGGCTTCCGGGTCCTGGACGCCTACAGGTACGCGGTAGTGGATGAGCTTGTGGCCCGGGGGACAACTCTGCGGAGGGCTCCTGCCCGGGACGCCTTGCGGGGGTCACCTGCCCGAGGCTTCTGCCTGGGGCGCCTTCGGGGACACCTGCCCGGGGGGCCTTCGTGGGAGGCGTCGCTTGCAGGAGGAGCGCCGCGCCGCGCCGGCCGGGTGTGGCGCTTACAGTGCAGTGTCGCTTGTGTATGTATTGCCTTGCTGTCGCGCCCAGAGGACCCTGCTGCGTGGTGTGAGGGCCTAAGCACAAAATGTCAGTGTTCAGAACTTTGCATGACCAGCCACTTTCACAAAAGGTGCTTTAAAAATTTTTTTTATTTCTGAGAGAGAGAGAGAGACAGCGTGAGCAGGGGAAGGTCAGAGAGAGAGGGAGACATAGAATCAGAAAGGCTCCAGGCTCTGAGCCGGCTGTCAACACAGAGCCCGACGCAGGGATCAAACCCACAGAACTGTTAGATCATGACCTGAGCCGAAGTAAGACGCTTATCGACTGAGCCACCCAGGCGCCCCACACAAAAGGTGTTTCTTTACAGCTGAGGATATTGAGGTCTAAAACGACTCACCTGGCAGCAGACCCCCAGGGAGAAGGGGCACCTGAGGTTTTTGGATTCCAAGTTAACCCTGGAACTTCGTCCTCATGTGGCATTTCTCTCAATATCCTCTTCTATGAAAAGGTGCTGTAGTTGGGGTCAGGAGTGTTCTGAAGGACAAGGAGAAGAAGGTCTCTCGGAGACCTTGTAAAGAGCCATAGGAGTGTGGGGTAAGGGTATCACTGGCTAATAGCCTTCTGCCCTAGGTGAGTTCATCTCGCCCCATTAGCCAAAGTGATGTCTCTCCTTGGGGCTGAGAAAGTGACTTGAGGGAGGTCCAAGAGGGGCAATAATTACAGGCTCCAAAGGCCATGCTGAGGTTAAAGAACTGGGTTTCCCATAGGTTTGAAGTAGAAAAAGCCAGGCCCCCTGCAGCTTTTTTTTTTTTTTCAAGTGAATTAACCATTCCCAGTGGTTAGACCCACTCAGGAGGGGTGTTTAGTGTGCTGGGTGTACACTAAGACCTTTTGCTTACTAGCTCCTCTTATCTTTGTAACAACCCTACACGGTAGGTAGATAAGTTATCTTCTTTAAAGAGGAGGAAGTCAGGGTACAGAGAAGGGATGTGCCCAGGAGCATGAAGCAAGTATATGGCAGAACTGGGGTTCCAACCCAAGCAGTCTGGGTCCAGCACTTAGATGGAGACCCACTGGTCCTGCCCGCTAGGGAAGAACTTTCTTAGGGGTCAGAGGAGAGGAAGACAGACAAGTGAGCATGACCCTGGGCTGGGCTTGCGATCACAACTGGAGCAGAGAGGCACGGCTCTGCGGGTCCTGGGGCACCAGAGGGGTTCACATGATGGAAGAGGCTTTCTAAGGACATGACATTTGAGGAGTGGGTGCACACCAGGCAGAGGGGCCTGGGAGCAAAGGCCAGGAGGTGTGGAGTGAAGCAGGAAGGACCTCTGGGTGTCACCCCTCTCCCCTCTCTCTGCCCAGCCCCGAGGTGACACATGTGGTGATGGAAAAGACCTCAGCGGAGGAGGCCAGCTGCTGGCAGGAGCTCAGGGTGGCAGCAGGCTCTATCCCTGGCCACACCAGCCCAGCGATGCTGGACATAAGCTGGTTTACGGACAGCATGGCAGCTGGGGAGCCCGTGGCTGTGGAGCCCCGGCACCGCCTGGAGGTGAGCTGGGGGGAGGTGCCAAGCACAGGCCCCTCTGGCCAGTCAGGTGATGTGTCAGCGCCTTGCTGCCATCAGAGGAGGTGGGCAGGAGGGCTCAGCGCAGGCCACGGGGGACCCAGAGGCCGTCCTGGCTTCTGCTCTCACCTGGTGTAAGCTCTTGAGGTCCACCTGTTGTTAGCACATTCAGGCCTTTCTTGCTCAAGTAGTGAGACAGCAGGAGGCTGCCCACAGGTGCTGTGGGTCTGTGGCCTCTGTCCGCCTCGGTGCTTCCTGGGTGAGCAGAGCTGGGGGTGCAGGGGTGGGCTCAGAGCCAGGCTTCCCATATTTGAGTCTCGCGTCTCTGTGAGGTGGGGTGACCAGCGCTCCGAGCCCACGCAACAGAGAGGGCTGGGGAAGCAGAGCATGGCAGCATGCTCAGTGACGGGAACCATCCTCCGTCCTCCGCTGCGGCGCTGGCCTGAGGAGCCCTCTGCGGCCTGCTCTGCACCTTCTGTCCTGGGCCACCTGGCCCTGCCAGCTCTGCAGCCTCCAGCCAGCCTCTGTATTGCCCATCCGCAGGTGGCCATGCCTGGGAAAGAGGTGCCAGGCCTGGTGTGGATGCCACAGTACGCCTGCCAGTGCCCCACACCCCTCACACACCACAACCCCAACCTCACGGTGAGCCTGGGCTCCCAGCTTCCCCGGGATGGGGCCAGGCCCATTCACCTGAGCACTTCCCCTCTGCCCTGTCCCAGCCTGGGGACAGGTGGTGGAAGGGATGAGTGGGGGGGTGGGCGTGGGGGTGGCCACCCTTCTCCTCCCCTCCCCACCCCTCCCCTCTCCTCCCCTCCCCACCCCTCCCCTCTCCTCCCCTCTCCATCCCTCCCCACTCCTCACCCAGGGCCCCACCTTGCAGGAGCCTCTGGAGATGCTGGCGGAAGCTGCCGGCTTTGAAGGCAGTGAGGGCCGCTTCCTCTCCTTCCGCAGAGCGGCCTCAGTGCTCAAAGCCCTTCCGAGCCAGGTCACAGCCCCGAACCAGCTGCAGGGGCTGCCCCACTTTGGAGAACATTCCTACAGGGTCGTCCAGGTAGGTGCTCACCACACTTAGCAGGGTGGGGTCATGAATGCAAGTGGGTGAGGAGAGACAGCAGTGCAGCAAGGCCAAGGCAGGCCACCCTCTGTGCTCAGATTCCTCATCTGTAACTTGGGGCCACACGGTGTGGCTGAAAGGGACCAGATGGGGCTGGTAGCTGCCATTGTTGGCATTGGTCCGGCTGCCCAGGATGGTAGAGAATCCATGACCAGGAGTGCCTCTTTTTAAAACCAAAGTATTTGGGACGCCTGGGTGGCTCAGTCGGTTAGGTGTCTGACTTTGGCTCAGGTCATGATCTCACTGTTTGTGGGTTCGAACCCCGCTTTGGGCTCTGTGCTAACAGCTAAGAGCCTGGAGTCTGCTTTGGATTCTGTGTCTCCCTCTCTCTCTGCCCCTCATTCACTCACACATTGTCTCTCACTCAAAATATAAATAAACATTAAAATTTTTTAAAAAATAAAAGTGTTTCAGGACCCAAAATGTTAAAATGTCTTTTCATGCGCTTACCACTGAGAGAATATATTGTGACAAAAGGAGACTTTTGAATTCAGTTAAGCTTTTAAAGGCAGTCTCATTGAATACATCGCCTGTGTTTTGAAAAGCAGTGGTTGGGATGCCTGGGTGACCCAGTCAGTTGAGCATCCGACTCTTGGTTTCAGCTCAGGTTATGATCTCACAGTTTGTGAGTTCGAGCCCGGTGGACAATACAGAGCGTTTTGGGATCCTCTCCCTATTTCTCTGCCCCTCCCCTACTCGCACTCTCCCTCAAAATAAGTAAATAAACTTTAAAAAGAAAGAAAGAGAAAAGTAATGGTTTCCCTGTCCTGGGACTTGTTACTCAGTAGACAGCTGGCCCATCTCTGGCCCGAGGGTTTTTGAGGCCGGGAGATTTGGTGGCTCCCTGGGCACAGTCTCTCTTTCCGGGTCCCCCAGGTCCTGGCTAGATGAAACTGCCCTGCCAAGTGCTGGGGTTCCGCCTGCTCCCTGGGCTCCAGCTCTTGTCTCTGGTCAAGCTGACAGCTCTGCTTTGTCCCCCAGGAAGTGCTGGCTCGAGGAGTATGTGAGGAGGTAGAGAGAATCCGGTGCTCAGAGAGGTACCAGACCATGAAGGTACACGTGGGGCAGACCCCGGTGGGGACACGGAGACCATGGCCCTCCCCCAGGTGACAGCACAGCTCCAGACGCGGAAGGGAGGCCAGTAGGGGCACCCAGGGGTCAGAGAAGGTCTCCTTGAGGAAGTGGCAGCTAAGCTGACACCTGATGTGCACAAGGCAGCCAAGCAGAGAGGGGCCCACAGAAGCTTGTTTTTAGCACAGGAAATTTTCTGGATCACTCAGCACCATGTGCTCCGACTAGACCATCTGTGGGGTGTTCTCACACATGTTGTATGCTCTGGCACCCTAACCAGAGCTAACTGGACAAAACATAAGCACCTCCTGGGTGTCCTGGGGCCACTCACTCTTGCACGGGCCCCTCATGTCCACAGTGCATCTTCCGCTGTTCCCACCTGACCTGCTGACACCTGTCGCATCAGCAACTTGTTGGGCAAGTGCGTCATGGTGCTCTGGGAGGTGGCCCAGAATGTTGTGAGGGGCAGCAGGGGCTTCAGAGAGGGACGTGCCTCCAGGTACTTCTGCCATTTGGCACACTGGCCGCTCTGCCAGGGGAGACCTGGCCACAGAAGGTTCCCTTTCCTTGGGTTACAGCCTCCACCGCTGCCCAGACCAGACCTTCTGTTTTGGTTCCAGAAATCCCTGGGGAGGGGATTGGTCGGCATAGGGCAGGTGCCCATCTCTGACCAACAAGTTGTGGTCGGGGAGGAAAGAGGTGACTTGCTGGGGCTGGGGTCCGGGCCCACCCTACATGGGAGCCCTGTGTGTGTGGCAGGCAGTCCCCAGCGGGAGGTTGGCTCCCGTGGTGTATCCAGTGTATCTTCCGGGGGTGGAGTCCAGGCCCAGGCTTGTGTTTCTTCCAGCTCCTGCTACGACCACCCTCTGGTTGTTAACTGCCTGTTGTTTTCGGCGTTTGCTGAGGAGCAGGAACCGGGGGCATGAAGCTCTGGCTGCTCTTAGACAGGAGTGCCGAGGTGGGCAGCGGACGAGAGGCCGTGAGCAGTCTATCGTGTGATGCGGAGTCACAGGCTGGAGCTGTGGGCTCTGGGGAGACCAAGGCCCTCCCAGGGAGGTGCCCATGGGGTCTCTCCCTGCCGTACGCCGTGAGGCTGGGCTGCGTAGCTGGGCTCGGGGATTGGATCCTGCCTATGCTCTCGCTGTGTGGCCTTGGGCAGCTTGCTCACACTTAAGAACTGTGAGCAGGGATGGCACCTGGTAGGCTGCAGTGGGCTTAGTGAGGTCACTAGTGAGGTGCTGGCCTGAGACAACACCCCCTTCACAGACCTCTGTTGCCGTCTGCATCTTCTGGAAGGGCTCTGCTCCTGACCACACTGTGCTCATGCCCCAAACAGCTTTTCACCGGGATCTTCGGGGTCGGGGTAAAGACTGCTGACCGGTGGTACCGGGAAGGGCTGCGGACCCTCAACAGCCTCCAAGAGCAGTCCCAGAGGCTGACCCAGCAGCAGAAAGCAGGTGAGCCATCTGAGAAAGGACAGGGCTCTGGGCTCCCACACCATGGAGCCCTCAGCACAGACACAGGGCATGTGCGGATGGCTGTGTTGATGGCCAAGAGTGGGGTCAGTGCGAAGGGCCTTGGTGGCAGGCAGGCATCTCTGGTAGGCTTCCTAGGTCTCCACCCAGTGGAGTCTGGATCCACTGTGGCCCTTTTGCAGCAAACAGTGATGGCCACAGTAGCTGCTATGACGTTTAGGCTTCCTAGTGGGACTCAGACCTGGACCAGGCCCCTTACTACTTCTCCTTTTTTTTTTTTTTTTAATTTAAATATGAGTTAGTTCACCTATAGTGTAATCATGATTTCAGGAATAGAATTGAGTGATTCATCACTTACATGTGACACCCAGTGCTCTTCCCCACAAGTGCCCTCCTTAATGCCCATAACTCTTCTAGTCCATCCCCCCCACCTCCCCTCCAGCAATCCTGTTTGTTCTCTGTATTTTAAGAGTCTCTTATGGTTTGTCTGTCTCTCTGTTTTTATCTTATTTTGCTTCCCTTCTCCTATGTTCATCTGTTGTGTTTCTTAAATTTCACATAAGAGTGAAATCATGATATTTGTCTTTCTCTGACTTATTTTGCTTAGCATCATACACTCTAGTTCCATCCATGTTGTTGCAAATGGTAAGGTTTCATTCTTTTTGATGACTGAGTAATACTCCATTGTATGTATGTGTGTGTGTGTGTGTGTGTGTGTTTACATATATACCCCACATCTTCTTTATCCATTCATCCGTGGATTCAATGGACATTTGGGTTCTTTCCATGCTTCGGCTATTGTAGATAGCACTGCTATAAACATTGGGGTGCATGTGGCCCTTCGAATCAGCATTTTTGTATTCTTTGGATAAATTCCTAGTAGTACAATTGCTGGGTCATAGGGTAGTTCTATTTTTAATTATTTGAGGAACCTTCATGCTGTTTTCCAGAGTTGGCTGCACTAGTTTGCATTCCCACCAGCAGTGCAAAAGTGTCTCCCTTTCTCTGCATCCTCGCCAGCATCTGTTGTTTCCTGAGTTGTTCATTTTAGCCTTTCTGACCAGTGTGAGGTGGTATCTCAGTGTGGTTTTGATTTGTGTTTCCCTGATGATGAGTGATGTTGAGCATCTTTTCATGTATCAGTTAGCCATCTGGATGTCTTCTTTGGAAAAGTGTCTATTCATGTCTTTTGCCCATTTCTTCACTGGATTAATTGTTTTTTGGGGTAGAATTTAATAAATTCTCTATAGATTTTGGATCCTAACCTTCATCTTATATGTCATTTGCAAATATCTTCTCCCATTGTGTTGGTTGCCTTTTAGTTTTGCTGACTGTTTCCTTCGCCGTGCAGAAGCTTTTTATCTTGATGAGGTCCCCATAGTTCATTTTTGCTTTTATTCCCCTTGCCTTTGGAGATGTTTTGAGTAAGAAGTTGCTGTGGCTGAGGACAAGGAGGTTGCTGCCTGTTTTCTCCTGTAGGATTTTAATGGTTTCTTTTCTCACATTTAGGTCTTTCATCCGTTTTGAATTTATTTTTATGTATGGTGTAAGAAAGTAGTCCAGGTTCATTCTTCTGCATGTACTGTCCAGTCTTCCCAACACCTTTGCTGAAGAGACTGTTTTTTCCCATTGGATATTCTTTCCTGCTTCATAGAGTGTGGGTCCATTTCTGGGTTCTCCATTGATCTGAGTGTCTGTTTTTGTGCCAGTACCATACCGTCTTGATGATTACAGCTTTGTAATATAGCTCGAAGTCCAGGATTATGATGCTTCCAGCTTTGGTTTTCTTTTTCAACATTACTTTGGCTATTTGGGGCCTTTTCTGGTTGCATACAAATTTTAGAATTGTTTGTTCTAGCTCTGAGAAAAATGCTAGTGCTACTTGATGGGGACTGCAGGCCCCTTCTGATTCTAAGAAAGGAAGGGTGTGTCTGAACAGCCTGTGCCCTGTGCACACCTTGCCAGCATGGGGCTGGTGCCCTGGCCCACTAGGTGATGGCATGGGGACCTGTGTGGCAGGAGAGGCTCAGTATGGGCCTGCTCATGGGAGGTGGTACCATGTGGTAGAATGAACATGAACTTGAGAGTGTGTAGGCTTGGGTTGACTCCTGTCTCTGCCGTTTATGAGGTAGGTGACCATGGCCCTGAGACTTAACTTCTCTGAGACTTAACACTCTGAGAATGAGTGACATTCTCTGCGAAGCATGGGGCTCTATGAGCTCCTCTCTGTGAGGCCAGTGGGGAGCAGGTGTTAATCAGAGCCTCTGTCCTCTCCGTGGGGCCCAGGGTGGGGGCCCCATTCAAGTTGTTCCGCAGCCCAGCACCCACGGCTTCTTTGAACATCTTCCCTTGGACTGGGGGAGGGGAAGCCATCTGGGGGTTGTGGGAGGGTTGCCTGGTTGGTCCACAGGAGATGAGACCCACGGAGTCATGTGCCCAGTGGAACATTAAGTGATACCATCACTGGCTGCACCCAGTCCCCTCTCCCCATGACACCGGAGACAAAACTGCCAGCACTTACAGAGAGCCCATGTGGCCACGTGCTGTTACTCTCCCACTTAGACCTCTTCTCATTGTGTGGGAGGTACGGTGATCCTCCCACAGGGGAGAAGATGGGGCTACATATGGTGAGGGCTTCCTGAGTGGCAGAGCCACCTTCTTCACGTCTTTATCGGTTTCTGGGCCATCTTATGGATGGAGTAGACTGTGTCGTGAATGTACCTACATCAGCTTCCTGATAGGACTGAGTGGTTCTGCAAGATGCTGCTGTTGGGGAGAACTGGGCAGGGGGCTTCTGCCATTTCTTCCAACTACATGCGAATCTGCAGTTCCCTCTGAATAAAAGTTTACGATTTAAAAGGGAGAAATGGACAGTGGAGAGAGCAAGATGGTGGGGCTGGGAAGGTCAGGAGAGCTGTGCTGTCCACAGGACTCCGGCACTATCAGGACCTGAGTGCCCCAGTCCAGTGGCCCGAGGTGGAGGCTCTGCAGCAGGTGGTGGAGGCAGCCGTGGGGCACATCCTTCCTGGGGCCACCATCACGCTAGTCGGCGGCTTCCGGAGGTAAGGGGATCTGACCTGCCCCCCACCTTGCCCCAGGGAAGACAGCTGAGGGGGACCACAGAGGAGGGCCTTCCCACACTAGTGGGACCAGGGAGAACGTGGAGGGCACGTCCTGTGTCAGCCCTGGCCTCAGAGTGGGCCCCCTCAGGGGCAAGTTGCAGGGCCACGATGTGGACTTCCTCATCACCCACCCCCAGGAGGGCCGGGAGGCAGGGCTGCTGCCCAGAGTGATGCACAGACTGGAGAGTCAGGTGAGGAGCAACCTGCTGCCTGTCCCGGGAGCACTGCTGGGCCCTGACAGGCACTGCAGACCCCCACCATGCCTGCTCCTCCCCCAGGGCCTTGTCCTGTACCACCAGCATCACCACGGCCACTGTGCAGATGCCACCTGCCCGTCCCGGCACAACCACGCCATGGACAGCTTTGAGATGACCTTCTGTGTCTTCTGCCTGCCTCCACCCCCAGGGGCTGCTGTGGGGGGCACCCAGAGGGCCGTGCGGGTGGACCTGGTGGTGGTCCCTGTCAGCCAGTTCCCCTACGCCCTGCTGGGCTGGACCGGCTCGAAGGTAAAGGGCATGCTGCTGGGGCCGGGCCAGGGCCTCTGGTCAGTGGCCCCAATACAGCCTTGCTTTCCGCAGCATTTCCAGCGGGAGCTGCGCCGCTTCAGCCGGAAGGAGAGAGGGCTGTGGCTGAACAGCCATGGGCTGTTTGACCCCCAGCAGGTGTGTTGCTTCCCCCCTGCCCTCTGGCCTGCAGCCTGGAGTCCACAGGGCCCTGGAGACATCCCAGCATGAGTCCCCACCTGCCCCCTGGCACTAACACTCATGCTCCTGTTGCAGAAGAAACATTTCCATGCAGCTTCGGAGGAAGACATCTTCAGACACCTGGGCCTGGAGTACCTTCCCCCAGAGCAGAGGAATGCCTGACCCAGCCACTGGCCCTGTCCGCTCTCTGGGGAGGCAGGCCCTGTAGATGTCCTTGGCCACCGAAAGTCTCCAGGGCAAAGATGCACTGTGGCCCCAGGTCCTAACCCCACACCCAGGCCTAGATAGAATGAAATGAGCACACATAACAAACCAAGTTCTGTTTTCTTACGCTGCTGTGGGGGGCCCTGAGGGGGTGTGGTGCCCGGTTCTGTGCAGAGGCCCGTCCTGCTGGGTGTTGGTCGGGGGCAAGGGGGACCATGGCTGTGTGACCCTGGGTCAGCGAGGACCTGAAGGTGCCTTCCCTGTGGGCTTGCTGTAGAGCCTGAGGTGGCAGATGGCAAGTGTTTTGCTCGGTACCCTAGGCCTCAGACCTGGGGGGTGGTAGTCTGGAGCTCTTCCTACTGGGAGTCCACCTACTCTGTGACCAGCAGCTGCGGAGGACAGGCCCAGAGGCAGGGGCTGGGGGCAGGGGGAGAATTTCCAGTGCCCAGAATTCCCACCACCTCTCAGCCAGGCTTCCTGCCTCTGCTCTTCTAAGGTCTGTTCTCAGAAGGCCTTTGTCAGCAGATCACATAGCATCCCTCCTTGCTCTCAGCCCACACTCCTGTTCAGTGATTCCAGAACCTTACAGTGGCTCCCAGAGTCCTGGCCTCGCCCTGACCACTGGCCTCGTCTGCTGCTCTCCCACTGCTCTGAGCTAGGTGCCTTCCTGCCCCGGTGCCCACATGACCTGCCCCAGACACCCGTGAGGCCGGGGCAGGTCACAGCCTTTCCCAGAGGGACCCTGGCCACGCAGTGTCCTCTGTTCCTCAAATCCCCTGGTCTGCTCTGGCCTCAGTACCTTTGCCACTGGGCTGTCAACTAGAAGTCCTCTCCCGATTCAGGTCTCTGTCAGGTAAGGACTCCCCTGACCACTCGCTGCATTAACAACTATTTTTGTAAAGTAACATGCAGGAAAATTGATTCTTTTGGTGTCCCTGTGGTAGACCCATTCCCCTCCACCATGCCAGCCTTGGAAATAAAACAGCCAGTTATTGCACCAGCAAAACGGGTTTACTTGGGAACGACTGAAGAATAGCAATCTAGGATAAGCAACCTGATAAAACCAAAGGACAGGAACAGGAAGAGGACCTTGGGAAGGGCTGATGTGCATGAAAGTCCAATGGAGGAAATCGGAGTTCAGCGTGGTGGTTTCTTACAGGCTGGGCTGGTGCCAGGACAAGGACCCTCCTCCTGTGGGCAGCAGGGCATGGTTCCCAGCCTTCCCTTCCTCTGCGCCGTCAGTACAGAGCCTGACCCGGAGCTCGAACTCACAACCCAGGGATCCTGACCCGAGCTGAAATCAAGACAGGGGTACCTGGGTGGCTCAGTTGGTTAAGCATCCAACTCTGTTTCAGTTCAGATCATGATCTCATGGTCTGTGAGTTCAAGCCTTACATTGGGCTCTGTGCTGATGGTGCAGAGCCTGCTTGGGATTCTCTCCCTCTCTTTGCTCCTCTCCTACTTGAGCTGTGTCTGTCTCTCTCAAAGTAAAATAAATAAATTAAAAAAAAAAAAAGTCGGACACTTAAAAGTCGGATGCCTAAGTGAGCCACCCAGGTGCCCCTAATTTTCATTTTAAGTAGGCTCTATACCCAATGTGGGGCTTGAACTCATGACCCTGAGATCAAGAGTCACATGTTTTACTGATTGAGCCAGCTGGGCACCCTTTTGTCTTTTCGATGATGGCTATTTTAATAAGTATGAGGTGGTATCTCATTGTGGTTTTGATTTGCATTTCCATGATGACTAGTGAGGTAGAGCATCTTTCCATGTGTCTGTTGGCCATTTGTATGTCTTCTTTGGGAAAATGTCTATTTAGTTCTTCTGTCCATTTTTAAATCAAATTGTTTGGCTTCTGAAATTGAGTGTATGAGTTCTTTATATAACTTCTATATTAACCCCTTATCAGATACAGGATTTGCAAATACTCCCTTCCATTTCATAGGTTGCACTTCCATTTTGTTGGTCACTTCCTTTGCTGTGCAGAAGCATTTCAGTGTGATGTGGTCCCCCTTGCTTAATTTTGCTTTTGTTGCATTTTGATTTGGAATCCAAACAAAATCATTGCTAAGACCTCCTTCCCTGCAGTCAGAACTGAGGTTTGCTTCCAGATACATGTAGCACCTTACAGCTTTTAGGCCCTTGACTCTGACACCCTTGGCATTTACCAGGCCCAAGCTGATCAGGCCTCAAGTTCAGGTCTAAAATAGTGATATAGGAGGCTCCTGAACTCACTTCCTTCTCTGGATATACCACACGTACTGCAACACAGAAGCAATTCCTTCTAAAAGGAAATCCAGAAACTAGCTGAACAATTCCTGCCTGTTGGAAAAACTGAGAATACCCACATTAAAACGGGTCACCAGTGTCTCCCTGGAAGGTGCTCCTGCACATTATTTGGTGCATCCAAAGGACATGGCCCTTGATCACCTGTTCTGGTGGCCACTGGGGTTTGCATTTGCAGGGCCCACCGACTTGTTCAAAGAAACCGTTCTTTACCAGCTGTCCTTCCAGGGCCCAGCACAGAGTATGCAGACCACAACCTACCTCCCAGGCTTTCCAGGAAAGAGGCTTGTTTGTCTACTTTGAAAGCTGCTGCCCGAGAGTCAGACTTCTGATTTAGCACACATCTGTGGCTGAGCCTCCCTCGGGGATACCGCCAGGCCTCGGCACACGGTCAAGCACTGGAACCACGAGGAGCACAGAAGGTGCTTGGGCAATCATGACGGTCTGAGAGCACCAAGAGCTTGGCTTGTGCTGAACAATAAGGTTCATCCCCTTCACAAGACCCCCTCTCACCCCCCCATCAGGCCTTGGAGACGTGGCTGTTTTATCTAATACACAGAAACCAACAGAGTCAAGGAAAAGGAACAGAGGAATATATTCCAAACCAAAGAACAAAACTCTGGAAATAGCCCTTCATGATACGGAGATTAGTGACTTACCTGATAAAAAGTTCAAAATAATGGTCATAAAGATGCTCACTGAGCTCAGGAGAATAATGCATGAACACATGAGAATTTCAGCAAAGACATGAAAACTATCAGAAAATACCAAACATAAACCACAGAGCTGAAGAATACAGTAACAGCACTGGGACACCGCCCCCCCCCCCCTTCCCCGCAGGGTTCGGCAATAGATTACATAAAGCTGACTTGGATAAATCACTGGATTCTCCTCCTGAAACCAATATTGCACTGTATGTTAATCAACTAGAATTTCAATTTTAAAAAAATTTTTTAAGCTGACTTGGGGGCACCTGAGTGGTTCAGTCAGTTGAGCATCTGATTCTTGTTTTCAGTTCAGGGTTATGGGACTGAACCCCATGTCAGGCTCTGCACTGAGCATGGAGACTGCTTAGGATTTTCCCTCTTCCTCTGACCCTCTCCCCAGCTTGTGTGCGCACTCTCTCTCTTAAAAAAAACAAACAAAAAGCTGACTTAAAGACAGTACAATGGGATTCATCCCAGTTAGAGGAGCCAAAAGAAAAAAGTGAAAAGATAGCTTTAAGAGGCTTATAGGACACTATTCATGTGGGCCAAAATGTACATTATGGGGTCCCAGAAAGAGGAGAGAGAGAAAGCTTATTCGAAGAAATAATGGCTGAAAACTTCCCTAACCTGGGAAAGAACTAGCTATCCTGGTCCAGGAAACCCATAGAGTTCCCAATAAGATGAATTCAAAGAAACCCACATTAAGACACACTTTAATTAAGTTGTCAAAAGTTAAGGACAACGAGAGAATATTAAAAGCAGTAAGAGAAAAGCAACTTGTTACATACAAGGGAACCTCCACCTCCCATAAGACCATCAGCAGATTTCTCAGTAGAAACATTTTAGGCCATAAGAGGGTGTCATGCTATTTTCAAAGCGCTGAAACAAAGAAAAAGAAAAAAAAAAACCTGGCAGTCAAGAATACGATACCTGGCAAAGTCGTCCTTCAGAATTGAAGCAGAGATCAAGAATTTTCCAGAAAAACTGAATGAGTGCACCACCATTAGACCAACTTTACAAGAAATACTAAAGGGACTTCAAGCTGAAACAAAAGGATGTTAATTAGTAACAGGAAAGCATATGAAAGTATATTTATTACTGGTAAATGTTAATACCTAGTTAAGTTCAGAATACTCTGATATTGTAATGGTGATAAGCAAATCACCTATCAACCTATAATTCACTTATAATAAAGATTAAAGACAAAGGTATGTTAATGGATACAGCACGTAAGGAGATGTAAATTGTGATATCAAAACCAAAATGTTAGGGGTGGGGGATAAAAGTGTAGAACTTTAGTATGTGTTCAAAGTTATTATGGACCTAAAATAGACTGTTAAAACTATGTAACCCTCATGGCAACCACAAAGTCAAAGTCTGTAGTGGATACAGAAAAGATGAATCTAAGCATAACACTGCAGCAAATTATCAAATCACAGACCAAAAGAGGAAGGAACAAAGGAATTGCAAATCAACAGAAACAATGAACAAACTAGCAATATTAAGACCGAATCTATAAGACCGAATCTATTAAAAAAATTTTTTGTTAATTTATTTTTGAGAGAGATTGTGAGCAGGGGAGGGTCAGAGAGAGAGGGAGACTCAGAATGAGAAGCAGGCTCCAGGCTCCGAGCTGTCAGCACAGAGTGTGACACAGGGCTCGAATCCACGAATCGCAAGTTCATAACCTGAGCCAAAGTTGGATGCTTAACCGACTGAGCCCCACAGGTGTCCCAATAAACATTTTTAAAATAGGCAATCTAGGGGCGCCTGGGTGGCTTAGTTAAGCGTCCGACTTCCGCTTAGGTCATGATCTCGTGGTTCGTGGGTTCGGGCCCCGCGTCAGGCTCTGTGCTGACTGCCAGCTCGGAGCCTGGAGCCTGTTTCAGTCTGTGACTCCCTCTCTCTCTGACCCTCCCCTGCTCACACTGTCTCTCTCTCTCTCTCCTAGAAATAAAAATATTAAAAAAATAAAATAGGCAATCTACAGATTCAATGCAGCCCCTATCAAAATTCCAATGGCATTTCTCTCAAAATGGAAAAAATAGTCCTAAATTGTATATGGAATCACAAAAGACCATGAATAGCAAAGCAATCCTGAGAAAAAAGAACAAAGCTGG